AGCAGAACTCAAGACTCATCAGAGCAGGCAACGTTTTTCCAATCTTCTATTGTCCTACTTTAGTGAGCCTGTGCAAATTGTACCCTTAGTTTCCTGTTCTTAGCTGACAGGAATGGCACCCGGTGGTCTTCTGCTGCTGTAGCCCATCGTCCTCAAGTCCTCAGAGATGCTCTTCTCCATACCTCAGTTGTAATGAGTGGTTATTTGAGTTACTGTTGCCTTTCTATCAGCTGGAACCAGTCTGGCCATTCTCCTCTGATCTCTGGCATCAACAAGGCATCTGCGCCCAAAAAACTGCCGCTCACTCGATATTTTCTCTTTATAGGACCTTTCCACAGAAGTCATTTAACACAAATCGATTAAAATAACTTGACAGACGTAAGTGTATTGAGCATTAAACAATTAAGATGTCCCAAAACATCTTAGGAATTCTGTTGTTTCAGCTCATTTTAATTAGGTAGTTTGAACAAGCAGCAAAAATCATATAGTTTTTAGTGAATATCGGAAGAAACCAGCAACTATCGACCTCCATAGTAGAAAAAACAAATACCATGGAAGTCAGTTGTTACTGATTTAGAAAAAAAAAGCAATTAATTACTTGTTTTGTGAAACTCCGGTTTCTGATGGCAAGTAAATGGTTAATAAACAATTTTTGAGTGAACTATCCCTTTTAAATATTTCTACATGTTTGCATCTTTTTAAGGCTGCTGGTTTGTCAAAGCTGGGTCAGTTGGCATTTCTATGTGGAGTTTGCATTTTCTCCCAATGTTGGCATGGGTTTCCTCTGAGTGCTCCAGTTTCCCCCACAGTCTAAAGACTTCAAGAGAATTGAATAAACTAAATTGGCCGTGTTTGGAAGAGTGTATGGGTGTTTCCCAGTAGTGGGTTGCAGCTAGAAGGGCATCCTCAGTGCTAAACAAATGCTTGATAAATAGCCGGTTCATTCCGCTGTGGCGACCTCTGATGAGGGACTAAGCCAATGCAAAATAAATGAATGATGTATCTTTTTACATATTTCGCACATCCTTTAACTACATTCTGTTATTCAGAGCATATAAGTAAAGGATTTTTACACCCCCTCACTTCTTACTCTGGCTAAACAGAAATTCTAGCCATTTTTTAGACCAAACGTCTTGTTTGCGTAACCATTTGAATTATTTATCTCTTGTTGTGCTGGTGTGTTATTGCACTAACACTATTTCGTACAGTACACACATCAACAACTCTACAAAAAAGAAAAGCACCGTGCTTTACCTTCTATAGCCTCATCACGGACATTTTTTTTCCAGAATGAGAAGTGAATCAGACTTTATGCCAACTATTACGTCTGTTTCAGTTTGTCAAGTCTAACAGGATGTCCATCACAGTCTGTTACTTGTGTTCTTATCACGTTTCGCCACTAGAGGTCTCATGTTGCACTATAGTCCAGCACAAATATTCAGTCCCATTAAAAAAAAAAGCAGATGAAGCAGCGCATTGATATTAAAGGGCCAGACCCAGCAGAGTCTCTGCGTTCACACCGCAGCCTCTCCTCTCATGATTTTTGATTTACTGTCTGGCATTAGTGTATTATTCTTCACTTCTGAAAGTTTGTGTCCTTTAAATGGATCAATAGTGTAGATGAGCGTATCAGACATAGAGAGCAAAAGGAGGGAAAAATTGTGGGCGTGATGTTGAAGCTCAATCAAGCTTCTGTTAATTCACTCTGCAGTCGAAATTACATATTGATTTTTTTTTTTTTTTTTGCATTAAACACATGCAGCACTTCACTCTCTGCTCTATGACACCAGAGATGTTTTGCTGATAGTGTAATAATATCATACTACTGGTTTTTGCACTATATCATACTACTGGTGTATCACACAATGAGCTCTCCAGGAATGTACTACAATACTTTGTTTCTTTAGGAAATATTTGATCTGACTCAGGGGCTGAACGGTGGCTCAGTGGTTAGCACTTTCGCCTTACAGCAAGAAGGTTGCTAGATCCAGTCCCGCCTTAACATTTCTGTGTGGAGTTTGCATGTATGTTGGCGTGGGTTTCCCCCAGGTTCAAAGACATGTGCTATAGTGAATTGAATAAAGTAAATTGGCTGTAGTGTATGTGTGTGAATGAGTGTGCATGGGTGTTTCCCAGTACTGGGTTGCAGCTGGAAGGGCATCTATGTAAAATATATGCTAGATAAGTTGGGGGTTCATTCTGCTGTGGCGACCCCTGATGAATAAAGGGACTAAGCTGAAGAAAAATTAATGAATGAAAGATCTGACTCAGAAAATTGGTGGATTGCAAAAATAATCAGTTATCAGATTATCAGTTTTTCCTCATATTGCTTGTCTCATGTAAAGTGGTTTATGGTAATTATGGTACACTGCATTATTCTGTCAGGTGTTTTACATCTTTTAGATTTAGCCACACTGTAAAAAAAAAAATCTGTAATTTTACGGTTTATTTCCGAAAGCTGGGGTGCCGGAAAAAAACATAAAAAACTGCCGGTAAATTACAGAAATTTACCGTAAAATAACGGATATTAAATTACAGAAATTTACCAGAAATTAAAATTTAAAACTAAAATTGGCCATAGTGAATGAGTGTGTATGGATGTTTCCTAGTACAGGGTTGCAGCTGGAATGGTATCTGCTGTGTAAAACATATGCTGGATAAGTTGTTGAATCATTTGTGGCGACCCCTGATGAATAAAGGGACTAAGCTGAACGAAAATGAATGAATGAATGAATGAATGAATGAATGAATGAATAAATGAATGAATGAATGAATGAATGAATGAATGAATGAATGAATGAATGGACATGAACAACTAATAAATATAGTTGTTGTCTTCTGTATGTTGAAAAGTGTTACATTGAAAAAGTAAAATGTTGCGTTATAAATGTCTTTAGCATCATTATTAATCGTTCTTTATTGAGTAAAACTCTACATTTCTGTCAAAAACCCAAACTAAATGAATTTCTACAGCCCAGGAATGTGATTATATAACCAATTTTCACTCTGACTTAACCAGAGACACTTGCAATATGTACGTGTTTGAGTGAGAGACAGACAGGAAGTGCGCTACATGTGTTCAATTAAATGCGGGCGCACAGGTTCCACTCTGAAGCTGTGTCAGTGGGCCAAGAGACTCTGGGATGTTTACTCACCACTGTTAGGAAACTAGGACACCAGTCCCAGCTGAGCTGTGTGTGTGTGTGTGTGTGTGTGTGTGTGTGTGTGTGTGTGTGTGTGTGTGTGTGTGTGTGTGTGTGTGTGTGTGTGTGTGTGTGTGTGTGTGTGTGTGTGTGTGTGTGTGTGTGTGTGTGTGTGTGTGTGTGGTGTGTGTGTGTGTGTGTGTGCGTGCGTGTGCGTGTGCGTGTGTGTTTGTGGTGTGTGTGTGTGTGTGTGAGTGTGTGTGTGTGTGTGTTTGTGTGTGTGTCTGTCTGTATGAGTGTGTGTGTTGGTCTCTGTGTGTGTGTGTGTGTGTGTGTGTGTGTGTGTGTGTGTGTGTGTGTGTGTGTGTGTGTGTGTGTGTGTGTGTGTGTGTGTGTGTGTGTGTGTGCCTGTCTTTGTGTTGGTGTTTGTGTTGGAATGTGTATGCTTGTGTGTGTCGGTGTGTGTTTGTGGATGTCTGCTTGTGTGCGTGTCTTTGTGTTTGTTTCTGCGGTGGTGTGTATGTTTTGTGTCTGTGCACATGTGTGTTTGTGTTTGAGTGTCTATGTGTCAATGTTGTGTTTGTATTTGTGTGTGTCTGTGTGTTGGTTTCTCGGTGTGCATGTCTGCGTTGGTTTCTTTGTGTATGTTTGAGTTTCTGTGTGTATGTGTGTGTGTTTGTGCATGTGTGTGCCTGTCTTTGTATTTTTGTTTGTGTGTGTATGTGCGTGTCTGTTTTTGTGTGTGTCTTTGTGTTTGTTTCTGTGCTGGTGTGAGTATATGTGTTTTGTGTCTGTGCTTATGTGTGTATGTGTTTGTGTGTCTGTGTGCCAGTGTTTGTATGTGTTTGTGTGTGTGTATGTGTATGTGTATGTGTTTGTGTGTGTGTGTGTGTGTTTGTGTGTATGTGTTTGTTTGTGTGTGTGCCTGTTTTTTTGTGTGTGTGTGTGTGTGTGTGTGTGTGTGTGTGTGTGTGTGTGTGTGTGTGTGTGTGTGTGTGTGTGTGTGTGCGTGCGTGTGTGTGTGTCTGTCAGTGTGCCGGTGGTTTCTTTTTCTGTGTGTGTTTGAGTTTGTGTTTGTATGTGTTCATGTATGTGTGTGTGTGTGCCTATCTTTGCATTGGTGTGTGCTTTGGTATGCGTATGCTTGTGTCTGTGTGTCGTTGTTGGTGTGTGTGTGTGTGTGTGCATGTCTCTTTGTGTGCGTGTTTTTGTGTTTATTTCTGTGTTGGTGTGTGTGTGTGTGTTTTGTGTCTGTGCATATGTGTGTATGTGTTTGTGTGTCTGTCTGTGTTGGAGTCTGTGTCAGTGTGTTGGTGTGTGTGTGTTTCTGTGAGTGTGTGTTTTTGTGTGCATGCGTGCGTTTTTGTGTACATGTGTATGTACATGTATATAAACTTTTGTATGTGTTTTTGCACATGTGCTTGTGTCTCTGTGTGTGTGTGTGTGTGTCTGTGTCTGTTTGTGTGCATGTGTGTGTGTGGATTGTCACAACTGTCTGCAGAAAGAGAGAGAGACATGGATGTTAGCCAGATGCTGAGCTGACCTTCTAATCACTCAGATGCCCATAGAGAAACATTGCAACTACATCTCTCTCTCTCTCTCTCTCTCTCTCTCTCTCTCTCTCTCTCTGTTTTTCTCTCTGATTGCAGACCTACATATGAGCTAGCGAGCTAATTGGTCCCAGTGGAACATCGGTTTTGTCATTTCAGTTGTTGTGAAAGCGACACGGGCGCACAAACACACTCATCCCATTCCAAAAACTTTCTAGGGCAAATTTTCATGGACACGCCATGCACGCGTCTTACTGTCGACAAAATGATCACGACGCTTGTAATCTGTGTGTTTGTGTCTCTCTAGGATAGCTGCGCGAGAGTGTTGCTGTTCAGAGGGGCGAATAAGGAGATTAAGAACTACAACAGCCAAACTGCCTTCCAGGTGAGAGCGCAAGACTTTCTGGAGATCAAACACTGAGCAGAAGTCAGTGGAGCTGGATCTGATTTAAAGCCATGCTGTTGTTCACAGTCCAGCCACCTAAAACTGGAATATAAATATAAATGCTACAGTTGAAGTCAGAATTATTGTACCTTCTGAATTATCAGCCCCATCTGTATACTTTTCACCAATTTCTGTTTAACAGAGAATTTTTTTTCAACACATTTCTAAACATAATAGTTTTAATAACTCATTTATAATAGCTTATTTATAACTGACCTTTATATATAATATCTGACTAGATATTTTTCAAGATACTAGTATTCAGTTTGAGGCGCAACTTAAAGGCTTGTCTAGGTCAATTAGGCAGGTTAGAGCAGTTAGGCAAGTTAATGTATAACAATGGTTTGTTCTGTAGACAATCAAAAACAAATATTGCTTAAAGGGGCTAATAATTTTGACCTTAAAATAGTTTTTAAAAATTAAAAAATGCTTTTATTCTAGCTGAAATAAAACCAGTAAGACTTTCTCCAGAAGAAAAAATATTGTAGGAAATACTGTGAAAAATTCCTTGCTCTGTTAAACATAATTTGAGAAATATTTGAAAAGAAAAATCACAGGAGGGCGAATAATTCTGACTTGAGCTGTATGTTTTGAGAGTTTACTGTGGGATTTTTAATGCTGGGAGGACATTTGTATACCTCCTACTTATATTACATTGAAAAGAGGATCAATTTGACAGTTTTCCATATTTTGTCATTTTTATTCTGTACTATTATTATTTATTGAGCATTATGGGACCTTGATGTTTCCTCCAACAACTTTTGATATTGAAACGTTTGAAAAAGTGAGTTTTATTGATATTTATAATAGTTTGAAGTGATATATTGTCTGGGTTGGTATTTTAGTAATTACTGTACAAAGCATCCACACATATTATGTATTCTACATATCTTCTTTCTTTTGCAATATATTGTTTCAAATTTGTATAATGTCAATAAAAGTCACTTTGTCAAAATTCAGAGCTGAATTTTCAAAAATCCCTGTTAAACAAAGAAGTAATTTTGTAATTTTGTGAATTATTATTATTTAAAACTGTTAAGGATATATATGAACATATACGCCATGTGATGGCAGTATTGCATGTGGTACAGTTAGCGCAACCAGTAGAATTTGAAGATACTCTCGGATATTAAAATGCACTCGACCGTTAATGACTGAAAATGAGTCAGGCAAAAAATTTATAAATAAAATTCTCTGAATGTCTGGTGTTTAAGGAAGAATGGACAAAATACTTCTTCACCAATATCGGACAGAAAGCGATGTCTAATATGCCAAGAAAGAATTGCTGTTTTTAAAGACTTAGGGGCTGATCACACAGAACGCTCTTTATGCGTTAAAAGGCGCCTCTTTTTAAAGGTATACTAGCGACCGCGAGGGTTTTGCGTGATGCGCGCCTCGAGTGTTACCGCCTGCTGCGCCTCGCAGCATAAAATATCTTTTCCCTTTTATTATTATTATTATTATTGTTATTATTATTTTTTTTATAAGGGATTATTTTAATGTTTTATAATGATTGATAAGTAAATATAAATAGCAGTGTAAATTTGACGTAATAATATTTAAAACAATCATTAGTTTTTGTGTTAGTGTGACATGTT